CGCCGCCCAGAGTGCTGGACTGGTGCGGCGGGGGCACTTGCCGCAGGCAGCTGGATACTCCACGACGATTGGAGCTGCGTTCGCCGCGTTGATCTCAATCGTGCACTGCTGGCTGTTGCTGTAGTACTGCGGATAGTTCGGGCTCTGCACACATGCGCCGTCTTGCACGCACGGGCCGGAGATGGCAGCCCACATGCTGCCGGAACCGGGCGTCGGTGCAGCGGTCGGCGAAGGAGTCGGCGCAAGAGTCGGCGCAGCTGTCGGGGCAACCGTTGGTGCAGCGGTCGGTGACGGCGTTGGTGCTGTTGTCGGCGGGGGTGCAGGTGTTGACACTGGCATGCAGAATTTCCACCCGCTCCTCGTAACGCTAAAGTCGGACGACCACATAATACTGGATGAAGGGGTGAACCCAGACGGACCCGAAGTTCCAGTATATACTTTCCATCCGTCGATCATGATGTAATCGAAGTACGATTCTACATTGAAGCCCTCTACGACGATCGGTCCTGCGTTCGACGCGTCGATCGTAATCGTGCACATCTGGTTGTTGCCATACGGCTGCGGATAGTTCGCGCTCTGTACACATGCGCCGTCTAGCGTGCACGCACCGGAGATGGCCGACCACATGTGCGCAGAGCCGGGCGTCGGCGCAGCGGTCGGCGCAGGAGTCGGCGCAGGAGACGGCGCAGGAGTCGGCGCAGGAGACGGCGAAGCTGTCGGTGTTGCTGTTGGGGATGCGGTCGGTGCTGATGTCGGTGCGGCTGTCGGTGGTGCTGCTGTTGGAGAAGCGGTCGGTGATGCTGTCGGTGCGGCTGTCGGTGCACCTGTCGGGGAAGCGGTCGGTGCAAGAGTCGGTGCTGCAGTCGGCCTGGCAGTTGGAGAAACGGTCGGCGCAGGCGTTGGTGCTGCGGTCGGAGGGGGTGCAGGTGTTGATGCCGGCATGCAAATTCTCCATCCACTCCTTGTAACAGAAAAGTCAGACGACCACAGCACAGTCTCCGCTGGGGTGACCCCAGAGGGACCTGAGGTTCCAGTATACCTGTCCCCTCCGTCGACAATGAGGTAGTCGAAATACGACTCAACGTCAAAACTCTCGACGACGATCGGTGCTGCGTTCGACGCGTCGATCGTAATCGTGCACATCTGGTTGTTACCATACGGCTGCGGATAATTCTCGCTCTGCACACACGCGCCGTCCAGCGTGCACTGGCCGACGACGTCCGCCCACATGTGGTCAGGAGAAGGCGTTGGAGGAGGTGCTGGAGTTGACGGAGTCGGGGCCTCAGTCGCCCCCATCAACTCGTCGATCCAATCACGCACGTAACTGACCCGAGACCATATTCCGGGGTACCGCTCATCTGCGCACCCGTAGCCCCAGGACGTGGCTCCGTGCAAGACGTAGGAAGCGCCTCCAGAAGCACAGACGAGAGGTCCACCACTGTCCCCCTGGCAGGCGTCGGTAACGTCCCCGGCGCTGTTGACGCCCTGGGCGCACAACATGTCATCGGTGATCTGCGATTGGCCGTAGGCCGCGCTGCAGTCTGAGTTGCTGATAATGCTCACCTGCGCCTCCTGCATCAAGTCAGGGGATGTCCCACCAGAGGAAAGGGTCCCCCACCCAGTTATGAAGCACTCTTCACCGTCCGCGACCGCCTCACTTGGCAAGCATGCTACCCCAATGCATTCGTTCAAGGACGCCTCACCGACCAACTCTACGAGGGCAAAGTCGAATCGCATCGTCGAACTGTCATACTCTGGATGGGAGAACACTTGCTTCACCTGCAGTACCTCCTGGCTCGAATCTGCTGAAAGTCTGTGGTAGCTGCCCGCTACGATTGAGAAGCTATAGCTACCCACACAGTGAGCAGCTGTCAGGACCCAGTTGGGAGCGATCAGTGCTCCTCCACAGAAGTGCCCCCAAGAGGCCGCCAGAGAAACCTGCCACTTCCACTCGCATGGCGTGGTGGCTTGCCCTCCCACAATGCGCTGGCCGCGCTGCGTCTCCCAGGGAGTGTTGTCCAGACCCTTTTCGCCGCACAGCGGCGCTGGCGACGGTGGCGGCGTGGTCGGCGCCCCCGTTGGTGCTGCAGTCGGCGCAGCCGTCGGTGCTGCTGTCGGCGCAACTGTCGGCACTGCTGTTGGGGAACTTTGGGGAGGGGGAAGCGGTCGGCCTTTCCGTTGGCGTCGCAGTCGGCACGGCTGTCGGTGCTGCTGTTGGGGAAGCGGTCGGCGCTGCCGTTGGTGCTTCAGTCGGCGCGTCTGTCGGTGCCGCTGTTGGGGAAGCCGGCACAGCTGTCGGCGCCTCGGTCGGTGCTGCTGTTGGAACAGCGGTCGGTGCTGATGTCGGCGCAGCTGTCGGTACCGTTGTGGGGGAAGAAGTCGGCGCCTCCGTCGGTGCTGCAGTCGGCGCAACTGTCGGTGCTGCTGTTGGGGAAGCGGTCGGTGATGCAGTCGGCGCAGCCGTCGGTGCTGATGTAGGGGATGCGGTCGGCGCTTTCGTTGGTGCCGTAGTCGGCGCAGCTGTCGGTACTGCGGTCGGGAGGGCAGTCGGCGCTACTGTCGGTGCTGCTGTTGGGGATGCGGTCGGCGCATCCGTTGGTGCCGAAGTCGGCGCAGCTGTCGGTGCTGCTGTTGGGAGAGCAGTCGGCGCTGCTGTAGGCGCAACCGTAGGTGCGGGCGATGGCGTCGGGGGTACCGTCAAGTCCCCCATCAACCCAGTCATCCAATCCCTTGCATAAGTGACCCGACTCCAGACTCCAGGGAAATTTTGAATGCCACACGATACAGGTCCCCACGACACGACGCCGTGAAGAAAGTAGGTGCCGCCTGAAGCGCAGACGATCGGCCCTCCGCTGTCCCCCTGACAGATGTCTGTTACCAGACCACCGTTGGAGCCCTGCGCGCACAGCATGTCATCTGTGATCGTCATCCCTGACATGCCCCACTGAGCCTGGCAAGCTGCATTGGTCCAAGTGGTCACCCCACCCTCCTGCAACAAGTCAGGGACGCTCCCTCCGTTGACCTTCCCCCACCCAGTGGTGAAGCACTCTTCATCTGCACCGATGTCCTCCGCTGGCAGGCACGCGAGGCCGATACAGTCGTTCAACGGAGCCGCACTGGCCAACTCCAAGAGGACATAGTCGTAGCCCTGATCCCAGTTGACATAGTTCGGATGAGTGTGCACTTGCTGCACCTCCAGTCGCACGCCTACCGTGTCCGACTGGGACTGGCTGTGAAGGCCCGCCACGACCCAGAACGAGGAGCGAGGGAAGCAGTGGGCGGCCGTCAGGACCCAGTTCGGGGCGATGAGCGTTCCTCCGCAGAAGTGCCCTCCCGAGGTCTGGAGGGAGACCTGCCACGGCCACTCGCAGCGCGTGGCTGCCTGCCCCCCGAAGATGCGCTGGCCGCCAGCTGTCCAGGGAGTGTTGTCGGCACCCTTTGCGCCGCAAGTCGATGCCGCGCCGATCTGCACCAATGCCGTGCACACCAGTGCCGCGGAAACGGAAACAACTCTCATGGTGCCTGCAGGTGTACACGTTCGAGGGTATCGGTGCAAACGTTCCGAAAACCTCGTCGGAGTAAGCGCGCCGAATCTATAACATGAGGCTTGGGCCAGAATGGATGCGGAGAAGCTGCTTGTGGCCATCTTGGACCCTCTGAGGCTGTCGTAAGGCCGTCTCGGGTCAGGCTGGAGTCGTCCAGAGCCCTCTCAGGGCCCTGTTGGGCCGTCATGGATTTCCTCGGACGCTCTCTGAGGCCCGGGGAGCCCTCCTGAGGCACCCCTGGGTTGCCGGCCTCGGCCTCTCTTGGGTTAACCCCCTGGAGGCCCCAAGAGGCCCCCAAGAGGACTCCAAGAAGCCGCCAAAAGGCTCCCAAGAGGCCCCACAACGACTGGACTGTACGTGCTCCGGACGTGCACCCCGCGAAGCGAGAGGAATATACACAAAGTGCACTGCATAGATCCCACCACAGATATTACTGAGCGGCAGCGTTTTCTGCGGAGGCGATAATGCAACGTACCCTATGTTTCCACTATGTTTCCAACTGTTGCATAATTGCTACATGTTGCATTGCGTGACATTAGTATGTCTCCCCCCCTACCCCCCCCCAGAGGTCACGCCACATCCGTCGACCCAAAAGTGGTGGACCCCTTCTGGGTCTGAAAACCTACAAGAACCTATGGAAAGTCGATGATTCGGTACTTTTGGCCCGACGGCCCAAGATGGCCCCAAGAGGGCCTACAAAGACGCCAAGACGCCCCAAGGGGGCCCCAGAGGACCCCCAAGAGCACCTCCAGAAGCCAAAAACTATTGGTTTTCCCATGGCTTTTTGAAGATTTCAGCGTTCCCGCCCATTTCGACTCTCAGAGGTCCAGGACGGCCGAAATAGCCTCCGAAGTGGCCCCCAGACACACCAAGAAGCCCTCAAGAGGGCCCCAAAACGGCCCAAGAGGGCCCCCAGACAGCCCAAAGAGGCCGCCGAGATGCCCCAAGAGGCCCCCAAGACGGCCCAAGAGTGCCCCAAGACAGTCTCCGAAGGGACCAGACAGCGCAAGAGCGCCCCCCGGCGGCGCCTCCGGCGACGTGAATCAGAAACCAGCTCTAAGGGTGCCCCGACCGCGCTGACAGCATGCACCGCCGCAGTGAGCTCGGCCCGTTGCGCGGTCTGGGACCCGCCCACGGGCCCGCCACGGTGCCGCAGCACGCCTTCAGGCCCCCTCCAGCAGAGACCCCAAGACGCCCACACGGGGCTCCGAGAGGCCCCCAAGAGGCCTCCCAGACGCCCCCGCGAGGACCCAACAGGCCCCAAAGAGGCCTCCAAGGGGCCCCCAAGAAGTTCCCAGAGGCCCGACAACGACTGGACTGTACGTGCTCCGGACGTGCACCCCGCGAAGCGAGAGGAATAAAAATATGCACAAAGCGCACTGCATAGATTCCACCACATATATCGCACCACAGTAGTTGCTCCACAGTGGTTGCTCCACATAAAATGCACAACGATGAACGTATCATCTAGATTGTATACTATAGATTGCACCACACTTACCGCACAGCATAGAGTACACTACCAATATACACATATGAATACATATATAGCTCGACATAGATTGCAGATCGTAGACTGCTAGAAACGCACTGTGTGGGGTCCACGCTGGCTGAGATGAGATCACGAAGGCCTTTGCAAACTCCCGAGAGGCCTTCATGCACCGAAGTGGTCGCGCACTGCCAGCACCCGGGAAGGGAAATGAGCGGGGAGGCTTTGGCACCACCCTCTCAGCCAAGCAGTGCTGCTTGACTCGCCACGGCTGAGCACCCTATTGCAGGAGCCACTCTGGGTCCTCAGGAGGAGGGCCCTCAAGGGGGGAAGCAGCAGCAGTGGCAGGAGGCTCAGCAAGAGGAGCGGGAGGAGCGGGGGGTCCCCCTCGGGGTAATTGGGGGCCTCGTCTGGGGCCTCGTCCTCGAAAAGTCCTGGTGGACTACAGTCGTCCCGTATCAGACGCATGCGCAATAAGGATGCAAGGGCCTTGCACGCCCATTTCGAAGCTTTTCGAGCGGGGCGCGGCCAACGAATGTGGCCAAGGATGGGCCGAGAGGCAAGGATGCAAGGGGTACCCTTGGGAAGGTTGCCCATCCTTACTGTACGGTTTGACTGTAAGATCCATGTCAGTCCTCTTGAGGCAGCTACCGAGGATGGACAGAACCCCCTTTAGTATGAAGACGACCTCGGGCCCAAACCTGGCGGGCGCAAGCCTCGCAAATGACGGCCGCGGCGCCGTCTCGAGAACGGAAAACGGACAATTCACTAACGACGTGTCAGGGTGGGGGTTATGTCCACCCCCGAAGTTAGTCGAGACACCCAGCGTCGTGGGTCTCCTGGGCCCCTTGCAGACAGCCGCGCCGCAAGCTTGGCAGCCAGCCGGGCCATCCGGAGGCAGCTCTCCGGCAGCTGGACATTTTGCCGGGACCCGGACCTGCCGAGCTCGGAGGACGGGGGAGACGACGACGGGACGAAGGGGAGGGCGGGGGAAGGGGAGGGAGGAGGGGGGAGGGGCGAACCAGGGGGTGAGGGGGAGGAGGTGGGAGGGGCGAGCGAGGGGCGAGCGAGGGGAGAGGGGGGAAGGGGAGGGAGGAGGGGGGAGGAGCGAGCGAGGCGGGAGGGGGGGAGGGGGGCTGAGACTGAGACTGGCTCACTCGGACGGTCTCCCCTGCGCTCACCACAACAGGCACAGACCAGGAGCTCATTCCTCTGACCTGACGGAGCTCGAACAAGGCGGCCAACCTGCCCACTCGCTGAAACAACAAGGCCAACTCGACCAACGAGGACGGGGAGTCACGGCCGAGGAGGACCATCAGGCGGGGCAGCAGGAGGAGAAGGACTAGGGCAAATCCAGGATGCATCCACGATGCTGCAATACCCATCGGTCGAAAGAAGTAGGTTTAAACATGGAGTAGGAAGGCGTGGAAAATAGATTGGGTTTCCGCCCGCCCCCCAAAGAGGACGGAAAAGGTGAAGCCGCTCGATCATTGAAGTAGGAAGGCGCTTAAAGCAGATTGGAATCTGGAATCCGAAAATATATCCTTCTCAACGACCGATGGGTACATCCTTCCGTCCCAAGAAGAAGGACAGGCGCCGATGTGCGCCCCAGGGGGCGGCCCTCTAAGAGCTCGGCGGGGGCGCCAGAGCGCCGAAAATCAGATGTCGTAGTCCGTGGTTACTCTACGATCTCGAGTGTGTACTGGCTCCATTGATACAATCCTTCCCATGAGTTTGCACATGCAGCGCCAAAAAAAAAATCGTGGATGCAACCAGGGCAGGACCAGGGCAAATCCAAGGTGCATCCACGATGCTGCAACACACCATTCCGTCCCGAGCCCCCTCCTCATAGGTCCACGCAAAGGTTTCCTTCTGACCTGCGGGAACCGCCCGCCCCAGGGACTCCTCATGAGCAGGGGACTCGGGACCGGGTGGATTGTCGATTCGTTGACGCATCCTGGGCTTGCTCTGGGCCTCCTCCTCCTCGTCCTCCTCCTCCTCCTCATCCCTCCTGTCTGGGACGTCCAACACACCCTTCCGTCCCGAGCCCCCTCCTCATAGGTCCACGCAGAGGTGCCCTTGTAAATTGCGGGAAGCGCCCGTCCCCCCTTCGAATCACGAGCGCCGGGTTATCCCCCACCCGGCCCTGCACTCGGGCCAGAACACAGACAGCATTGAATGCACCAGCAACACGCCCAGCCTGTGTTCTGAATCGTAGTATGCTGGGAAAGCTGTTCTCCTCCACCCTACCCCACCCAGTGCCTCCCACCCGCGCACGACTGTAGCAACGAGACCTCACCAATTATAGTAACAGTCCAGCACAACCTTGAGGCTGGAGGACCAAGTATCGCGAGTATATATACAACCAAGGGACACAGAGCAAGCCCGGACTTTACCAATCAATCATATAAATACACTTATGAACATACATACACATACATTACATACATGACATACAATACATACATACATACATAAATACGTACGTCCGTACGTACGTTACGTTTACGTACGTACATACATTAATACATACATACATACATACACACATACAACATACACACATACGCACATACTGCGTACATATCTAAATACGTATGGTACGTACGTACGACATACAGACAGGCATACATACACACAACGCTTATACCTACATACACAATTACATGCATGCATACATACATATATACATAATACATACATACATACATACATACATACATAACCAAATCCATACATACATACATGCATGCAGGGGCATGTTTGACATGCATACATGCATATGCATAACATGCATCCCTATGGCATCCATGCATGCATGCATACATGCATACATACATACATACACGTTTGCATATATATATATATATATATATATATATATAGCGAGAGAGATAGACACACACATGCACATATACATATACCAGCGACAGCCCTGCTTGGGAAATCATATGCCTTCTAGCAGCGCACGCGTTGCACACATTCCACGTCATGGCCATCAGATGTGCGGAGATCTCACGCAAGGAACCAACTCTGAAAAATGAGTCGCCAATCATCCATGCGTCTGCTGCGCAAATTGGAACTTTGACCCATAGAACAGAAGGGAATATCAAGCGAGAACCGCATGTGAAAAACAAACGGGCATCTGCCCTTGTAGCTGTAAGACAAAAATTATACATTAGTGTGCAGCACACTCAGGAGAGAGCCGCGTTTTGAAAACAGTCGGCCCTCCATCCTTGTAACTGTTGCAAGCTGTGAAAAGGATATGTGCGCGGTACTGCGCGAGCCGCATAAACGCCCAACCCAGCCTACGAAGAAAAGGATTGAACAAGTACGTACGACGACAATGACGCCGACGACGAAGACGACGAAAGGCGCAACATGGAGGGGAACGAGGATGAGAGAGGGAGGAAAGGGGAGGAAGGAAGGGGAGAAGGACCGAAGAAGATGGAGCAGGGACGACGAGGAGAAAGAAAAGCGAGT